AGAGAGAGAGAGAGAGAGAGAGAGGGGGAAAGAGGATGGGTGAGAAAGCGATAGAGGAAGAGAGAAAGTGAGGGAGAGAGAGCGAGTCAGAAAGAGGGAGGCAGACCAGGTTGTCACAAACCATTAGACAGACGGACCAAGTGTGCTCTGCCCCATGTCAATGAGAGGCCTGGCTACAGACGACCCTGTGTGTGTGTTCTTGTGTGTGTCGATGCACATGCATGTGTGTAATTGTGCATGCAACCTTTTGTGTGTGTGTGTGCGCAGTTATTTGTTTGTTTGCTTGTGTGTGAGGATGTGATTTTTGCACAAATGTTTGTAATTGACGGCGAAATAAAGCGCTGAAATTATGAAAGACAGGTAAACGCTTTGTGTGTTTGTTTGTTTGTTTGTTTGTGTGTGTGTGTGTGTGTGTGTGTGTGTGTGTGAGGGAGAGACAGAGAGAGGGGGGAGTAAATCTCTAGACGTTGAAGGGGAGAGGAGGCAAGATGCCCTCATTGTCTTCAACAAAAGGCTTCCTGTGCCACAGAACAAAATTTCAGTGTGCATGCACATATGCACACTTGAACACACTCTTCCACTTTTGTGCATCTGAGTGTGTGTGTGTGTGTGTGTAACATTGTAACCACAATATTTACCCACATTACTGAAACAGGAAGGAAAGGCAAAGAATTAAAAAAGGAGATAAAGGTGTAGTGAGGTAAACTCTGCTTCTAAAACTCACTTGGGATTGGAGCTGTTCCAGTAGACAGCGTGTCTGTCGAATATGATCTTCTCCTCTGCCCACACGGACACCCAGGACAGGACGGTCAGCACCACCACCTCCATCACACCCCTCTGCCCGAGCTGGCACAACATCATAGACATCCAGGGGGGAACCTCTCTCTTTCTTTAACCGGGATCAGGCTTTCACTGCACCGCCGCCGCTGCTGCTGCTGCTGCTGCAGGAGAAGGAGAAGAAGAAGAAGAAATCCTCTCTAGATCATCAATGTCCGTCTGCGCGTCTTTGGACAAATCGTGTCATGGATCGTTCACTGGCTTGATGCGCGTTCAGATGACCTCGGTGGTGTTTCAAGTCATACTGGACGCTTGGAATTCACTTTCAAACTTGGTCCTTCGCAGACACGAGAGCTGGAATCACATGTTATTGACGAGCGACGGGAAGCTGAGAGTGCGTCTCCTCGGAAAGGTTCCGAAACTTTTCTCCCATTACGCACGACCGCGGGAGATGGATGCGCTACCTGGGTTAGACCCCCCCCTGTCTCCTGTAATTAATCACCTTCCAGAATTCATCCGAGTTTTGTAATTCTGTCGTAACTCATCAGCAGACACGAGGCAGCGTCCAAACAGGCCGTCATATTTGTTTACCCAGATTTGTGTTGCGCCTGACGCACGCTTTTGTTCGCTCCTCTCACGGCGCAAAAATCTCTTCACGGCACAAAACTACGTCCACTTGAGCTTTTTTCTTCTTCTTGCATTTGAAGGAAATACATCCCACACACGAACACGCTCCTCTGCGATATCTCAGTCCAAACTTGTCGCGCACGCCACCAGGAAGCGAGACAGGAGCATCCTCCTCACACAACGAGCTCCCGCATCATCTCCACTTGCCACCGGCTCTCATCCAACGTGGCTCCTCCGCTCGTGGCGCGCCTGCTCTTCTCTCCCCCGTGCGTCACGCTGGTGGTGATCACAGCTTTAATCCCAACATGCTCCGGTGCAACCTCCACCTATGGCGGCAACAAACGCTCTCCGTCACCCTGATTCGGTGCAGCCTAAGTAGCCCCCACCCCCTCCTGTCTCTCTCCTATATATCTCTCTCTTTCTTTCTTTTCTTTCTGCGCGGGCGGGGTCTGTAGCCGTGCCGTGCCGCGCCGCGACGCGCTCCCTCAGGGGACGCGGGGTTGGCTGACTCACTGCGCCCTGCCGATGCACAACTTGGAGTGCATGGAGGAAAGTATGCAACTCAATTAAACATGTTTTTATTTTTAGAAAGTGGATTTAAGCTTTTATTGCAACAGGAATTAAGAATGTGGGCAAACAAATAAACTCACTGGAGATGGTTTAACGCGTCATGGGCCTGCGAAGACGTTCACGATCAGTTTGAAAGCTGCGGCCTGATGGATGAGGCTCACACACACACACAGAGAGAGAGGAGAAATAGGGCGTCTGATGGATCGCTGGAACAGTGGAGTCATTTTCCATCAGTGTCCATTAGGCCCAAAGGGCAAGTGGAGGCAGCACCAAGTCTAAAACCTGTGAGCCATAAACCCCCCGATGGCTGTGAATGACAGAGCGCTGGCACCCCTGCTGCCTCTGTCGTGCGTGTGTCTGTGAGCGCGCAGACTCCTCTGCTCAGACATATCCATCTTCGGCCTTCAGACTCCGAGCAGAGAGATGTAGGAGCTGCATTGTTTCTGCCAAGTGTTTTTTTTTCTAATGTTGCAATAAAGAGGAGAATGATGAAGCAACAAGAGGATTCATTCACTTGCACTCTCCTGAAGGGGCATCACCAAAAAATGAATTGAGAGAAGTACATATATTCAGAGAAGCCAGTGGCGGACGCATGAAAAATGATGGGCCATAATATAAGGAACAGTTGGTGCCCATTTAAATCTTTCCTTGTTTGAAGATAGTAGAGAAACTATGAAACTAAAGTCCAACAAAGGTCACAGATACGTGAATATATCCTTTGCCTCCCACTCACTTCCAATCTGCACGAGCGAGGAACCGAATAAAACAATCAGATTTCAGCTGGGGCCAGTGCCCCCCCTGGTCCCATCCCTGGATCTGCCCCTGAGAAAAGGGACAAAGGACTTTCTGCAGCGTACAAACTCCTCCAGCTCCTGTTTTTCAACAACACGGACTTGTCACGCCGCTCCCGATTCCAAAAAGGCCCATGATATAATTTTAAAATGAACCTTCCTGCGGCTCCATCTCTCACATCTGATTGTGCCTCTCGGCCGGATCCATTATGCAAACTGTCCTAGTTTTACTCTGCCCTGCTCTGCCTGCCAAGTAATGCCTATAATTTTTGGCTGCTAAATTCAGGTAGGGAGGCAAACCCATGCACCCCCCCCCCCCCATAACCCAAATACAGCTGCATGTTGTCAGCCTCTCTGGATGAATTATTCAACGTCTGTCTGAGGCGTGCATATGTAAACAGGTGGATAGGTTCCTGGTGGCTTTTTTTTTTTTTTTTAAAAGGGGGGAGCCACTACAGATTTGAGACCTCCTTCACCCCGGCTCCAGGCCTTCTCCTCCTCGACTCTGTCACTCTCAACGTGAGGCTAAATCTCATGTAAGCTCTGCAGACTAAACAGTATGGAGAGGACTCTGCTACGAGGGACTCTTAAGTGATCCTAAATCCAAATTAGTGTGAGTAAGTATGGATGCACTGCTCTGTAAAAGGGTCTTAAAGCCTTGAATTTATAGCTGGTTAAGTCTGTGATTGCTCTGCAGTTTAACTCTGCTGAAGAGAGATAAATTATAGACATGTGAATGATCTCCCAGCTCCAGAACTTAAACCGCAAATCAGACGATTTAGTGTTGACTAACAAAGCATCCATTTGAATTCGGCCAATGTTTAAGTCTTGCATCAGACGTCCAGCGTTTATTTTTGCCTTCAGAGATTATGTCTCCTGTGGACATTAAACATGTCATAAATCACATACAGGACCAATCTCTTGAGCCACGTGCTCGCCCTCTCAGCTGCCACTTGTGTGTGTGTGTGTGGCCTTGATGTTTGCCAGTATTTGCTTGATTAGAGACCACAGTGCTGATGTAAATAAATGTTGCCAGATGTGTTGGGAATCACCACCCCACATGGTTGCATTTAGTCAGCGCCGGATGAGGCCAGGAACATCCCCATGGGTCTGGATCCGACAAACAAATGGGAGACGGGGGTGGGGTGCAGTCAGACAAACACCACACTGAAGTAGTTACAAGTACAAAGACAGATTTGGAGACAGTGGGCTGGTGTAACGGAGCTCAGAGTACACACAGATCTGCAGTCCAATAACGTTTGGATCGGTAATTTGGGAAAATGAATGTTTGCCCTTACCACACAAACCTCCCAGATTGAGTTAATTGAATTTAATCTGTCTGAATTTTTCAAGCACCGTATTTTTTGAGCCAACAAATTCAGGAATTTTGTTAACTAAAAAGATATATATATATATATTTGGATCCTTTTCTCTTTGAGTTATGCAATCTCCTTGCATTTCAACATATTCCAGGAGGAGGCTTCCGTTTGGTCCGCTCTCTGCTCTAAATTAGTCCTGATGCAGAGTGAATTTCTAAAACGCTGCAAGTAAACAAGGGTCCGAGGTATCAAAGCAGCTTCAAAGCATCAGGCTGCTGCCATGGAGTCATTTCCTTACTGGCAGGGAAGATGTTTACAGACCAACATGTACTAAAGACTCTGGGGCAACATCAAAATAAGAGTTATCTTTTAACATTGTGCAGAGATTTGAGTTTTCATGTTTAGTTTTCGTGTACATCTCCAGTCTGGTGTCTGTTTTTAAATGTGACCTTCAGGCATGTCTCCTTATGCAAAGCAAGAACAGAAGAAGAACAAGTGCCTCTTTCTGTGCGATTCATATAAATGCAGAGCTCTTCGTGTTTAAGACCACACTCCACAAACTACTGGGATTAGACGGGAAAATCCAGCTTCGAATGCAAACACCACTGGACTAGATTCTCTCATTCGTCCCTTTCAAAAAGTCGAGAAGATCCGAGGTTAATCCTTTGCTCTGCTTTGTGAGTAAGCCAAAGAAAGAAGGAACGAGGCCAGAAAGCCCGAGCAGACACTTGAGATTAAGCCACTAACTACTGACATTGTGAGTGGCAGGTAAAGTCACCTCTGCTCAACAGCCTTTTTGCACCACCAGAGAGCAACACCTCCCCCTGGTGGTTCAGGGGGTGTACGACTAGTCTGTCAATGTGCTTCTCCTCCTTTACAAACTTGGTGATGCCCATGGGTGCCAGAAATTCTCTTAATTATTAATTTTACAAGCTGCAGCGACTTGGTTTCCACAGCAACTCTTCTCCTCTTCTTAGAGTAAGACCGGATCTGCTAAAAACTGGAAAAGGTCAAAGCTGAGCACAGGAGGATTATTCAGAATCATGGAGAATGGCGAGCATCCGGCGTTGCATATCGAATTAACACCCCACCCTGCCATCATCGCAGCAGCCGTTTCATCAAAGCACTGTAGCGGGATTGAGCTGAGCCCAGTGAGCAGTCAGTCAGGTTTCAGATGGGATGAGTACAAAGTTGGAAATAAAGTAAAAGGTAAAAAAAAAAGGTAAAAAAATCACCAGTAGTACAACAGGATGAGAAATGTGGAAAATGTTACACGAGATGTTAACCGATACAGAGCAGCAGGTCCACAGGACAGAGAGGAAGAGACAGAAACCAAATGAGGCCAGATGAAAGAGGGAACAAACTAAAGATTTATTGAAGGCAGCAGAAGATGCAAGAGACAAGAACAGAATCGCGAGGGGGGGAGGGGAGCGGGGCACATACAGAGACACTTCTGTGTGTTCAGATAGGTTTAATGTCTTTGTGTTACAAAAGTTTTTTTGTTGTTTTTACAGCTCCAGAGAGCTCAATAGGTCTGTATTGTTTTATCAAAATATACATGTTTTGAACGTAAAGTGGATATAATCCAAATGATTTTGTGGTACAAAAACACGAATATATACAACCATCGATCCCGCTTTCATACAATAACCCCATCCCGCCCCCATATAAAAAAAAAAGGAGAGAAAATAAAAGCTTTAACAAAAACTGAAAGGCATATAATCTACACTGTCAACATCACAGCTAGGACTGTGGATCAATTAAGGATCCATTCTAAAGCGAGCGCTAGCCAAATTAAGTTCTTTGTAAAGTCAATCAAACAAAAGGGGTACAGTATACATCGTTACCCAAAACTCATTTAACTCTGACGTTTGTCCAAGGTGTTCTGACAAACAGAAAAAAGGAAAATCAAAGCCTTGGATGTTCTTTTTTTTGTGGAATAGCGGAAATGTGACAAAAAACCTTTAAGAAATCACAACACTACAAAAACAGCAGGGATAGAAGATACTTTGGTCCTTAACAGCAATAACCGTTTGCAGCTACATGAAGCTTTGTTAAATCATGCATAACAATCTTTTACAAAAATAGAGACAGAGCGTGTCTGTATCTGGTCCGAGACTACAGTGGTCCAGGCTGTGATATCTGGTGCTTGAGGCACGCAGGAATGTGACGTTTTAAGACTTCAGCGTGACGGTGCCAACTTGGACCTATCATTGAGGAAAAGTGCACTAGAGAACCTGACTGTGGCGTAAGTGGACACAGACAGGGGATGGGTGAGGGTTAGCTCACCCTGTAATCCTGTTAATCCTGAATTTAGAGAAATACACTGGGTTTGTAGACACAGTCCAAGACCGTTGTTGCTATCAATTGACAAATGCCTCCCAGCTGCCCTCTCACAGGTACGGCTACCTGAATATAATGGGATAAAGGCATCTATGCAGACAGGTAAGATCACACAGTTGAATTAGAGGTAAACAACAAAATCAACTGACCAGGCCACAAAATGTTTCAGCCTCTGATTTAAGACTCAAGCAGTCAAGGCACTGTGATAATGATCAAACCCAGCCACTACATGTAGGTTACCAGTTAAGCTTAGAATTGATACACATGTAAATGCTAACATTAAAAAGAAAGATAAATGAATATATGCGTCCACATACAAATGAACATAATATGGTTAAATGAGGCCCCGGCCACCCCCGTCCCTGCAGAGGACTGAATGGAGGTGAATGGGGACTGTAGGACAGGAAGCCTGAATACCGCTGCTCTCCTGCCACAATACACCTAATAGAGCTACTTCCGCTAGCAAGGATATTAGGCATCTAACTGACTTACATTCATAGTTTCTACATATATATATATATGATGAGGCTATATGCATACAAATCCTTAGATAAGAAGAAACAGAATGAATAAGCCACTTTCCCCCATTTTACAAATGCTGGTACACACCCAATAGGCATGGAGAAA